ATGGTAGCAGCTCAAGGAAAGATTTATATAGGATGCATAGATACAAGCATACAGGTATGTATTGCCTTGCCTTTTACCAAATGATACTAATTAAATCATAACGACACAAAGTAACATAGTATATTTCAGGAATTAATTGTTACAAATAAACGGGAGAAAGAGATCAAAGCACCGACGAGGAGCTGGAGAATTCAAAACAAGCCTATCAATTCAGTGGTTGTGTACAAAGATATGTTATATAGCTCAAGTACACATGTTGAGATGTCTAATATAAAGGTAAAAAACTACATTAACATTTTTCACAAGGTGATAGACTAAAGAAATTAGTGACTTAAACAAAAATGTCTTACAGGATCTGAGAAGGAATTATGAGCCCCAAATGTCAATAACAGCAGAAAAGGGGTCTAATATAGTAGCAATGGGTGTGGTTGAAGACTTCATCTACCTGAATCGAAGTTCATCCGCAAACACTCTTCAGGTAATCTTTTTCTGCATAACTAAAACACTTCCTAGACCAAACACCATTCTAATTGATATTAAAGTAAAGATCATATGGTTTGTGAATCCTAGATTTGGTTGAGAAGGACACAACAGAAAGTGGGAAGATTATCAGCAGGAAGCAAGATCACAAGCCTCCTTACTGCTAATGATATTGTTTTTTGTGGTACAGAAGCTGGAGTCATTAAGGTGAATAATACACACATGCTATAAAGTTGTTTAAACCATCATTTTAAAATGATGTTATATAAGAACTTAGACCGACACTAATTTTCTTACGACAAAACAGGGATGGATTCCGTTATAGCACAAAGGACAAGTATATGAGGTAACCATTACAATTTCAAAAATCAGCTCAAAGTTATGATACATGAAGACTCATGTTCATATCACAGTGAAGAAGTAAATACACAGGCTTAAACTAGAGTGAAGTGAAGCTGCAGCCCTATGTGATACTTGTACATGTGTTACATAGCATAATATTCAAAATGTAGTTGAGTAGTCTATTTCACTTCTGTGTAGATAGTGATTTTGCAAAAGTATTTATTATCAATTAAGATCATGCTTCAACAGAGTACACAATGACATTATTAGTAACACGAAAGACAATAATTACTGTGGATGGAATGAGACTAAGGAGTAAAAGATATCAGAGATCTCAAGAGGTCCTACATTTGATCTAAAGATGCTTCATAAATATTTCACAACGGAAAATTGATAGTATTCACATGGTCACGTCTGAAGAATCTATTTATGCAGATTTTTGGAATATGCATGAGAAGTCCAAACTTGGTCCCCATAACTTTTTTTTGTTTTTAACAGAACAAATAATTTTAATTTATATGAATAGGGTTAAGTCAGAAGGCAGCCTCTTTTTCTCTTCTGTCTCTTTGCAGGATTGTTAGTCTTTATTTCAGCTCATGGACCCCTTTTGATGTCCTTGTCCCGACCATCTCTTCCACACATTATATATATCATCTGGTTATCAATCTGAATTTATTATTGTATCATAACAGTTCTGTTATATATATGAATATATTATTGTATCATAAAATCATAACAGATTTGTTATGTCTATGAGGGAAAACAGAGAAACAAATTTGTTTATGTCTTGATCGACTTGACGTTTCAATGTGAAACAAATACATAACCTGTGGTTTGGTCGGACAAAAAACTCAATGTTTTGGCTTGCATACATGTAATTTATTATAGAGATTAGCTGGTTGGTGATGAGGAATTGATCATAATGATGATGGTTTTTAGAAGATGTTGTTGACTTCTTGTTTGTTGCATGTCTTACTTAAAGATTGTGGGGCTCAAAAACAAAGAAGATAAAACTAATGACTATTGGCATCATAATGCATGTGCAAAGGCATGTGCCTTTTGATTCCACTCATTTAATACTTAAAAGTTAAAACCCCCTAAAACCTGTTGACTGACTGCTTTTTCGAGTGGTTACTATTATTATAGTACTATCAAGTAACACATCTGGTTTACCATCACAGTGACACCATAAGACAAAATAATCTTGGGACAATGTGTATTAAATAATAATCCATTGAATAAGAAAACAATCATAGAAGAGTAAAAGACAAAGCAGCAAGTATCCTAAGCTCATTCTCCTAAAGGTTTCAAGCTTGTGTGATAATGAACAACAACAAACATATAACCAAGATGCCAAACATAGGAATGAACAAGAAAATAGTGTGACATTACATTAAAAGATCAAGCCAATGTCCAAAGAACGAAAGAACAGCCTAACTAAAAACACATGAATGAAATATCTAAATTTAGAAATACTTAGTAATGCATCTCTCGCTTCAGCTTTTCAAAGCCAACAATGAAGGAATTGAGTCCAAATTTGGAGATATGTTCTTGTTGTCAGCTGAAGACTCTGTAATGGTACGACCTCTATGAGTAGTAGTAGTAGCTTTGGCTCTCATTGGACTTGCAAAAGCCCATCCCCAGTTTCTGTTCCCCATCTTATGATTATGATGATGATCAACCGTTGATGATGTTGTTGATGATGATGTAGATGATGGTGTCATTATCATAAACCCACCAAAGATGCCACCACATTTGACCATTTCATTCATCGCATTTGCTGCTTCACCACCACCACCATTACTAATGACCTTGGTGGCTTCTCTCTGTGACTCAATCCTTCTCAAGGCACAATCACCAAACCCATTAGAGATCCTCTCAAAGAAATCACCAGAGAAGCTTCTACTTCCACAACCAACAGATCTAGATCTCAACACTTTCCTCCCAAAAGACGAACCACCACCACCACCTATACCACCATTCGTTGGCGTTTCTGAAACCACTTTGTTAGGAGGACTCTCATCTTCTTCCTCAACTATCACATCAATGCCTCCACCACCACCGACCCTCTTCGAAGAAGTCTCTGTTGTTGACTCTGTTCTCTGGTTCCTCCTTGAATGGCTAAAGTTATCGACTTTTTTGGTGGTGTTGCTGATCTGATGTTTTGAAGAGTAGAGGTGAAGAAACGACCAGAACCCACTTCGTTTCCTTTGGCTGAAACTCTCACCATAAGCAGCAGCAGTCGATTTGCTTCTCTTGTAGATAAGATTAGCCGAAGAAGACGAAGAGGAGGAAGAAGAAGATGAAGAAGAAGCTGCGAGCATGTTCTTCTTCTTCTTAGCCAGAAGAAACGGGAGATTGTTGTTGCTGGTGGAGTCTCTGCCATTGCTTGCCGATGAGAGAGACAGAGCGAGAGATGATGTGGTGGAAGGAGTGAAGGATTTAGGAGAAGAAGAAGAGAGATGGTTGGGTTTTGGAACAGGGAAAGAGGAAGTGACGAGCTTACCAAGCTTTTCCTGGAGACATAAAGCACAGATCCCACCTGGGTTCTTTGTGTAAGGATGTCTTATGCATTGCATACCTTCTCCCATGTCTTGATCTTTGAGCTCCACCATTGTAATAAAGAAGCAAGCAAGAAGAAGAAAGAATCAAGATGGTGAAGTTCTCTCTTTGTTCCTCTGTTTCTGTTTGTGATTCACGGCATCTAACGAAGAAAGAATTCAGCTTCTTTTGAGAGAGAGAGAGAGAGATTGATTGTTGTGAGGGTGGATAGAGAGAGAGGTGTGTGTGGAGAGTTTGTAGAGAAAGAGAAAGGCGTTGAGTTCCCCAAGTGCACGTGGGAGTTCTGACCTGACATGTACTCTCTCGAGCTCTCTCTTTCTCTTTTTTCAATTGTTTGCTTTGTTTTCTTTTTTTTGGTTTCAGATCTTTGAACTTGTGTTGTGTGTCTCCAATTCTAATCTCTCTTTCCTGGGTCCATTAATTCACCCGATGTCCACGTGTCCATTGTTAGCTTTATAGAAACACTAACTACATGTGTCTTAAGTGACCGTTCTAAGATTACCACTTTGATTATTACAGTAGGATTAAATATTTAGGTTAATCCGATCAAGTAGTTTCATCGAGTGGATAAATCATGTTATTTTAGTTTAAACTATTTCCTTTGGTTTCAATGTTTAAACTAAATTAAAGAAGACATCTTAAACTATTTTAGGATAAACTAATTTAGTTTTTGAATCTGATTCAGAATAATTGATGAACAAAGAAAAAACATTTGATCTAATACAGTCATACAGATCCGAATTTCTGATAGGATAGCAAAATTCTCAAGTCTAATATGATAAGATATGGTCCAGAAGATCCTAATATTTTTACTGCCTGTCTTTTATATCCATGGGTTTACTTCATTACTATTTTTTTTTTTAAAATCGATTATGCGAAAAATGAAAGTTTAATGATCATCATGTTGGTCGTCGACTGTCCTCATCATTGAAGTTTTATGATAAATTAGTTAACATGCATCAATAAACATTAAATGTTGACAAGAAAAATAAATACATTTACTATGCAAATACCCTAGTTGTTTCCCATGTTAGTCATTTTATACAAGTCCGGTCCCATGTTAGTCTATTAAATATCACTTATCCTTTTGTTTTGTTAATTAAGAAATTCACCGGCTTCCTCCTTATAGGGCGGCCAACCAAGCAAACAAAGTCATTTAGTATATTAACAAGTAACAACCCTATCTTTTTATATTACACTTATGAGAACCAGATTTTTGAGAATAAACATATGAAAAATATACCAGCATGTATAAGTATAACCAAAACGATAAACCAGAAGTTTATATACGAAGATGTAAAATCGTAGAGAAAAACAAAAAGTGGTCCAAGAAAATTGAGTATTCGTGTCTTTTCTAAAATTCATGAATACATATTTTGTCTTGTCTTTTCTTTCTGCAATTCTTCTTCTATTTAGGGTCCCCTTCCATGTCTGTCATGTTTTAATCATCACGAGTTGTTTCTTTTTTCATCCTCACAAGTTCACATTTAGTCCTTACATTTCTAAAGGCTACTCACAAACAGTATATCATAACCTGCCATAATTCCATATTGATTCACTAATTTAATTTTAACTTATTGTCTTTTTTTTTTTCCGTCTGGGAATTATATACAGTATTAGAATATAAAGAGTTTTTCAATACAACATAACACAAACTTGATAAAAAACTAATGCCGGAAGAAAAAGAAGAAATCTCCGGAAGCTAAAGCCCAAAAAAGGGAAACCAAACCCAAAAAGGGAAACCTAAGCTGGCAGGTAGCGAACCTCCAGATACAAGGATTAAACAACATGATAAAAAAAAGACAAAAACCTAAGGAGACAATTCACGGAAAAACAGAAGCCACCATTATCAGGACACACAAAGACCAGCCGAGGAAAGTGAGCAAACACTAAGCACAAGGTAAAAACCTTGAGATTCGACCAGAGACAAGCCAAGGAAGACACACACCTCTTACACACAGACCCTCGTCGACCCAGCTTCAGCCATCTACAGACATAAAACTGGTAACCTCCTCGCAAGAGAAAAGATGAAAGTCAAATCCACTGCTTGCCTAGAACCTAAATCCACAACTCAAAAGAGCCACAAAAGAAGGCTAGTAGATGACGAGCAACAAACTACCATCCGATTGACCAGCAATTGGAACGAAACCTAGCCTGCCAAGCAAACACGACCAATCCAGCAGACCCAACAAAGCAGATGAACTAAGGACCAACTCAACCCGCATACTTCTCAAAGCAAACTAAAACCATCGGTTAAAGCCACACAAACACCAACACTAACAAATCCTTGTCGAGAAACACCAACCAATGAAGAGAGAGATGAGAGATATAAATTACCAGACCAAGAAACGAAACGAGTCCGTCTCCTTGAAACCACCAGCCACAGGACCACCACCAGATCTGAGCCACTACCTTGACAAACCCGCAGACCAGACGGATCAGTCACTAACCACAACCAAGCCTCACCGACGATGGCTTCCCTCCTTCAAACGTTCTTCTCTTCAAAGAGGAATATGACGACAAGGCCACAACAACACCAAAATCAACAGATCTAAGCCAAGAAAAACGTGGGAGATGAAGCAAAGAACACGAGAAAGGAGGCCACGAAACCTCCGCCGCCAACCATCCACCGATTCTTCACCAACCAAACATCCACCTTCGCATTTACCTTTGAATCATCGGAGAAAGCTAGCTAAAATCAAAACAAAGAAGCAAGACAAAGATCTAAGACCCTCCCACAGCTCCGGCGAGAAGCCCGGCCGCCGGGGAGGGCAAATCGGAAAAATCGAAGCTTGGGCGGCTGGAGGCTAGGGTTTTCGTCGAGAGAGCCGAAAAAAAATTCTCTCTGCCCTCATTCTCTATTTTCTTTAATTTTAACTTATTGTCATATGACAACATTATCAATAAATCATAGAACTTAACTCCATATAATAGCTTTATAACAACAAATGTATCTGACAACTTTGTTGTATGACAAAGCATAACATAAAACAAATCTTATTGCTACTACAACTTAATCCCTACTTTCTCCCAGATTCATATGTCTGAGATGAGACTTTATTTAAAAGCTTCTGAAGGCCAAAAGATCCCAACTTTTCCGGCTATGTAAATGTGAACTTAAAGAAAACACAGAAGATGCACCACTGGAGAAATGGTTCCACTGAAACGCTGACCTTACAACCGTGAGCTGGCTTGTTTCACAGGAGCGCTCTGTAACACAAAATGGAAGAACAATCAGGAATCTGAGTTACATTGAGTCAACTATGAGAGCTAAACTGGGCAAGATTAGATAAATGGTCACGCTAGTATGTTGATAAGAATAGTCATGTAATATAAACCAAGCTGAAAGAGATTATGTTTATAGCAATCCAAAAGAAACAGAAAATTACGAGCCAAACAGAGCAATGAAAAACTCACCAGAGGAACTCCTTTAGATCCCCTTTCAGCCAAAAAAGCACAAGGCTTGAAGAATTCACCATAAGTCTTTGACCACTCATCCAGCCTCGAGTATATGTATTTCGATCCGATGGAATCAGCCCAGAACATGATTCCTCCTCTGTTCCACAAGAGATTTAGATTGAAACCAAAATGAGTAAAAGAGAATTTGATAAGGATCTCGGAGTTGCAGCATTTATTTGATGACAACACTGACCTATAAGGTGGGAAACCCATTCCCATTATGCCAGCAATGTCAAGGTCTGCTGCTTTGACAGCAATGCCTTCAGCAAAAACCCTACACGCCTCGTTTACTACTGGGAAAAATGTCATTTCAATAATTTCCTTCTCCGACAAATTCGCCAACTGCATGCACAGCAACCAGTTAGAGTGAGAAAAGAATAGTGAGTCCCTCTCAAATGCAAATGACAAACTTTGCTAAATTTTTGGACAGAGGGATACCTTAGGGTCAAGCTTTACTCCAGATATGCTTCTTGCCTTTTCGATATATTTCTTTAGCTCAGGATCAGGTTTAGCCTTGCGCTTATCATCATACAAATAGAAACCTTTGCGAGTGGCTTCACCTGAAATCAACAGGAAATCCCACATAATTTAGAAGAAATGTTAAATCAATCAACAGTAGCTAGCTCTCGTTTCATTTCACACATACCAGCTCTCTTGTCCTCTTGCATAAGTGGGATAATCATTGATTTGTATGTCCGTTCTGAGAAGTTCTCGATGAATTGCGTTGCGGTTGCAATCGCCACACCAAATCCAACCAGGTCACACAATCTGCTCGTTCATATAAGTGACAAAAGTATAGTTAACAGATGGTGTATGTGAATGACATGGATTTTTACAATGCGATATACCTGAAGGGACCCATTGGCATTCCAAACTTGCTGATTGCCCTGTCGATTAGATATGGATCTGCTCCACACTCAACAAGGAACATAGCTGCCTGTGTGTAAGGGAAGAACATCCTATTCACTGCAAACCCTGTGCAGTTTCCCACCACGACTGGTGTTTTCTTAATCTTTTTCCCAACATCTAACAGGTCAACAATTACTTGGGCAGAGGTATGATTGGTCCGAACTATTTCAAGTAGCGGCATGATATGTGCTGGACTGCATCAGAAAAATGAAGGCACATGATTTGTGTAGAGTGAGCAAAAACACTCTGGGCATAAGATTTTCACTGAAATTCATCCAAACTCCAAAGGATATGTAATCACCTGAAAAAATGTGCTCCAACAATCCGATCCTGAGACTTGGTCCGCTCCCCAATTTTGTTCAAGTCAATGGTCGATGTGTTGCTAGCGAGGATACAATGCTGAGGACAGTACTTCTCCAGATCAGCAAAAATTTGTTGCTTCAAAGATATATTCTCAATAACAGCCTGTTCAAGCCACCAAAAAGACATCATAAAAAATCAATTCACTTAGACCATGTAACCCAATAAATAAACAACTTCGGCTTGGTTATGTTCATTATTACCTCAATGACCATGTCCACATCTCTAAAGCTTTCATAATCAAGAGAACCCTTAAGGAGAGACATGGTTTTCTCAAACTTTTCCTGAGACATGCTTCCCTTCCTTACACGGCTCTGGAGATTAGCTGATTTAATTATGAAATTAGTCAGATCAAGCTATTGCAATTCATTGGTAAGCAATGTATGGAACTCCATCCTCACCTTTGACTCTGCCAATTCCAGCCTCCAGGAATTTCTCATTTACCTCCTTGAGAATCACTGGATAGTTACTTAGGATCAACGCTGTGGCTATTCCAGATCCCATCAACCCGCCTCCAATTATGGCTACCTTCTTAATCTTCCTTGGCGCCAACCCACGATCAGTAACTCCAGGAACCTGTCCATACAATAGATTGGAGGAAATCAGAAAAGAGGGAAAGCTTTCATGCTAATAGTTAAATCCTTGTAAAGAAAAAGAAAAAAACAGAGGTTTAGTGGCACATCAGTCCAAATTACATGACTGCATAAAGACTCACAGACCTTAGCAGTTCCTCGCTGAGAAAAGAAGACGTGGATCAAGCTTTTGGTGGTATCCAGTTTTACTACTTGTGAGGCGACTTCAGCTTCCTGTAAGTAACAATGTGGTGGAAATTCATATTGGTCATTAGTCGGAGAGAAAAGGTTAAAGAACCGACACACAATGAAGCGAAGAAAGATAGGTACTATACCTTTTCTAAACCAGCCCTTGGACCAGAAACAATACCTACTTCAATAGCGTCAAGGCACATCAAAGGGTGTTTCATATTGGGGGCTCGCTTCTGTGTCTGTCCCCTGGCAAACTTCAGTATTTCCCTTGCCTCTCCAAGAGAAGGTAACTTATCAGTCTTGGAAACACTAGAAACCCATGGTTTTCTCCTCTCAACTATGTCAAGGGCCCAGCGACGAGCAGTGGTTAGTAACTCCGCAGGTGGCATCACAGCATCAATAAGACCCAAAGAATGACCTTCTTCAGCTTTAACTGGCTTAGATGTCTATGTTTCAACAAAAGAGATACTATTACACTTTAACCAAGGCACACTAATGCTACCATAAGAATAAGACACTGACATACCAAAATCATTTCAAGGGCTTTGGTGAGACCAACAAGACGCGGAAGACGCTGCGTTCCTACATCAATCCAAAGGAGTATAATTAGTAATATAAAAGAAAGTGACTTGACTCATTCAACAAAAAAAAAATGAAACAAATATCCTCTTCCCATCCTCAGCTCAGTATTATGCATTGAGAATGCCTTGACTTCTCCACGAGTTTTAAACCATATGTTGCTCAGAGGATTCAAAGACTTTACAGTCAACAAAGTTGAATACGTACCTCCAAAACCAGGAATAACACCAAGTTGCAGCTCAGGCAGGCCTAACTGTGCAGCAGGAGCTGATATCCTAGCATGACAAGCCTGGAAACAAACCATACAACTGTATCACCATCTTTCATCCTCAAAAGGATTTCTCGGAAAGGTAATAAATAACATAGAAACTCATACCATGGCAAGTTCTAATCCTCCTCCCAAGGCAAGCCCATCAATGGCAGCGACAGACGGTTTCCTTGCAGCTAAATCCAAAAAAGAAATCAACCCCTCAGCAACACATCAACACAAGCATTCCATAAATCAAATAAGTGGGTTAAGTAGAAAGATCACCTTCGAGCAAGTCGGTTATGATGTCAATCGAAATGTATCCAGCCTTTGGCTCTTTTACTGAGAAAATTAGAAACACCAGTATACGTTACTAACTAGATCAACACATAACACACTAATTCAATAACCAAAGATACAAAAGACACAGAAACATACTAGTCCCCTTCTGCATTTCACCAAAACCAGATATATCAAAGCCACCAGAGAACCTTCCCCTTTGCACCGTAGTTTTAAAAAAAGGAACACAAAAACCCATTACCAGATCATCTCCCAAAGTTTTCATAAAAATGTTCTGTTCTTAGCGAGGTATAGGATGATCTCCAGACATACCCCGTAATAACAATAGCTTTAACATCAATCCTGCTCAAGGCCTCCTCGTAATTACTTTTGAGATTGTATAGCACTATACACAAATATACAAAAACAGAGTCACATACAAACATATATATATATATATATATCAGATCATAATTTCGATCGGAAGCTCAATAGCAATCGGGGAGATTACAAAACCAAATCACGAAGCGAAATTGACCTAAATCTGAAGAGACAAAATTCAATAAATTCCAGATCATAACATAAAAATAAATCTGATAGTACCGTCGAAAGATAGAGAATTGACGGGAGGGTTGATGAGTGTTATGACGGCAACGCCATCGCCACCAACTTCCATCACCGTCTTCCCCTTAGTTCGTGAATCCATTTTTCGAGCTTCGTTGAGATTGCGAGTCAAAATTTCGGAATTGATGAAAAAAGAGAGGAGACGTGAGAAATCAGATTATTATATAATTGCAAAAGATGATGACGTCTGAATAATATGGTAGAGTGGCACACTCCTCAAAGCAACGACGGTACTTTGATAATGTTTTCGATATCTGATTTTTATTTTGTTTTTTCTTATCCTTTTTATGTATAAATGGATGGAATTAATCGAGAATTAGGAACTAAATATTTGCAATTAAACTCTGCGGATTTTTTACTAAAAATATGTGTTTGGCTGGTCATAGTCCTGCTACTACCAAACTTGGCGGATCTTATCTTAATTCTACGGATTTGTAATAAAGCGACCCTATATAGGATTTTACAGTTGTAAATAATATTTACTAGTAACAATATCTCATTTTGAACATTATTGTTTTTCTTGTTTTGTTTTTCCTATTAATTTATGATATAATCGATCATGCTAAATATTATTTCTTATAAGTTGCCGTCGTATATGTTAATTCTATCATGACATCCATTTTTCGTTTAATCAGATTAGAAACGAAAATGTAAATGAAATCAATAGTTTTAGACAAGTATTCAAACCATAACTTGTTTTTTTATCTCTGTGTGGTCTGGTGAAATATCTATTCGCATGACTAAGTATCAAGTTTCATACAATTAACCATAACAGTACTAAAACGTCTAAAACTTAAGACTTCACTAGAATGATGAATTTGTTTAAAACTTAAAGGTCGTCAACGAATATCTTCCAAGATCAAAAGAAAAAAGATGTGACTTATATGTAATTTTGGGTTGGTAGGTAGCTCATTTTCCAAAGATAATGTTAGGCATTTAGTGATGAAATAGATTGTATTTTGGAAGTAGCCTCACATTCGCACCTCTAACTTGTTTGTTCATTTGTTCAAACTGCAATCTTATGTTGCTTAAGGTTATCTTTCTTGGTTCAAGGAATTCTGTCTATGAGAAAAGGTTAGTCCACTTTGTTAAGTCTGTCTCAAAAAAAAAAAAAAAAGTCGTGTCTCTATTTTTTTGGGTTTGGCGTTGGAGCCTAGTTCTGGCCTTTTGGCTTTCTTTTTTCGTCTTTAGGGGAAGTGCTTGTAAAAGGCTTTTTTTAAGTCGATATATATAGAGCCCATCATCTGTTGACAGAAAAAAAAAGGTGATGTACACGAGGATACGCGTGTACCGTTGATCCTCTCCGTGATATTGCTGATGTGGCATAGATAAACCAATCCGATAGTTTGTTTTTTATTGGGACACTAATCCAATCAGTACTTTAGTCTTAATCCGGATACTCGAACAGAAACACACGGGTACGTAACATTTATCTTTTAAAATTCTCTTATTAGAAACATCTCTCATCAATTCCATCTGTTTTTCAATTTCTCCTCTCTTTTACTGTTTTTTCTTTCACCAAGGACCAACCGTTAACAACAATGATCGCGCGACGGATCTGGCGGAGCCAGCGGTTTCTCCGCCCATTCAGCTCGTCATCTGTTTGCGCTCCGCCGTTCCGGGTACCGGAGTATCTTTCTCAGTCGTCTTGCTCTCCGGCGTCGCGCCCATTCTTTGTTCACCCTCCCACTGTAAGTTTCTTCTCACCAAATTTCTTGTTTCTTTTTTTGATTTTTTCTCAAATTAATTTTGGGGCATGACATTAGCTTCCGAGAAGCTCTTCTAGGAGAAAAAGAAACATCGAAACTCTTTAAATTTAGAAAGAAAATAAAATTATCAGAGGGACTTAAAGTTTGCTAAGAATGTTTTGGATTTCTGGTCATTTTTGGACAAAAGATCAAACAAGTTCTGTCATATTTTCGCAGTTGATGGAATGGTGTGGAGGAAGTAGAAGCTGGTTTTCGAACGAAGCCATGGCCATTGATTCAAATTCAGGGTTAATTGATGTGCCACTTGCACAAACTGGGGAAGGTATTGCTGAATGTGAGCTTCTCAAGTGGTTTGTCAAAGAGGTCTCTTGGTTTCTCCGCTCAATGTTTCATTCTTTTTTTTTTTGGAATTGTTCTGTTTCGTTTCGTTGTGAATCATCTATTTTGCTGTTTTGCCTTTTGCAGGGAGATCCGGTAGAAGAGTTTCAGCCACTCTGTGAAGTTCAAAGCGATAAAGCAACAATAGAGATCACAAGTCGTTTTAAGGGCAAAGTGGCTCTGATTTCACACACTCCAGGTGACATTATTAAGGTTAGAGCCATACTAAATGAAAAAAAAAAAAATCGATACTTCTTCTTTTCTTGATGGAATGTATTTAGGTTCATTGACTTGATGGTGTTAGAGGCTAAGTTTGAGCATGTTACACACTCATGTAAACCATGAACACTAAGAGATAGTGGATTTATCGGCTAGAAGATTTTGACATGTTAAGCTTCTGATAGATCAGGTATCAAATGTATCATTTTTTATAAGTACTTATATGCGGCAAAATCTATTGATTGCAAGGTTGGAGAGACTCTGGTTAGGCTGGCGGTGGAAGACTCGCAGGATTCGCTTCTTCTAACCTCTGATAGTTCAGAAATTATAAATCTGGGCGGTTCAAAGCAGAGAACAGACAATCTTGTTGGAGCTCTCTCAACGCCTGCGGTTCGTAACCTTGCAAAAGACCTTGGCATAGATATCAATGTCATAACTGGAACTGGTAAAGATGGAAGAGTTTTGAAAGAAGATGTTCTCCGATTTAGTGACCAGAAAGGATTTGTAACAGATTCAGTTTCTTCTGAGCATGCTGTTATAAGAGAAGACTCGGTTTCCACTAAAGCTAGTAGTAACTTTGGAGATAAAACTGTTCCTCTAAGGTAAGCCGTTGTTGTCAATTTGCATTGTAAATGAACCAATCTTGTGTCTGAGTTAACCCCCGAAGCTTTCGTTATTCTCAGGGGATTCAGCCGAGCAATGGTCAAGACAATGACTATGGCTACAAGTGTACCGCATTTTCATTTCGTTGAAGAGATAAACTGCGACTCACTTGTGGAGCTCAAGCAATTCTTTAAGCAGAACAATACAGATTCCACCATCAAACACACTTTCCTTCCTACGTTAATCAAGTCACTGTCAATGGCTCTAACCAAATACCCCTTTGTGAATAGTTGCTTCAACGCAGAATCTCTCGAGATCATTCTCAAAGGTATTTATTTATAGGAACTTCTTATTGTTATGAGCACAATATCTTTGGATTATTAAATATCGATATATTCTTGGTTAATTGCAGGTTCACATAACATTGGAGTTGCAATGGCCACTGAACATGGCCTTGTTGTTCCTAATATAAAGAATGTACAGTCATTATCTCTGCTAGAGATAACCAAGGAGCTGTCGCGGTTACAACATCTGGCAACAAACAACAAACTTAACCCCGAGGATGTGACTGGTGGAACCATAACTCTGAGTAACATTGGAGCAATCGGTGGGAAATTCGGATCCCCTCTTTTAAACTTACCGGAAGTTGCAATCATCGCTCTTGGAAGAATCGAGAAAGTTCCAAAATTCTCAAAAGAAGGAACAGTTTATCCTGCATCAATAATGATGGTAAAAACTTTTCTTCTTCATTCAATTCTTAGTTTCAAGAATTGTTGTTAGTAACCAAAGTCTGATTATGAATCGGGTTTATGACTCAGGTTAACATTGCTGCGGATCATAGAGTTCTAGACGGGGCAACAGTCGCTCGGTTTTGCTGCCAGTGGAAAGAGTATATCGAGAAACCGGAGTTGCTGATGCTTCAAATGAGATAAGAAGGAAAGGTTCATGTCTCTTGGTGAATCATTATGTATGAAACCTTCATGTTCGAATAAGATCAAGAACTGAGCTAGCAGTTGTAAACTAAACAAGATAATAAAAATCATATCTAAAATACCAAAATAACTCCACAACGAGCAACACAAAACTGCAACATATAATTATATAAACACTATAGCTAGCCTCACAAGTCTGCATGGAACATTTTGCAAATAACGAAAATATTTATGAAGAAGACGCGCTAATTTCTGAAAAGGATCGGATCAACGTTCGAATCTGTGTACTAACGTTCACTTTACCAAACATTAATAATAAAGAAGTCGTACAAAGACAAAGGAATATCCACTCTTACCGGTTCCAATCACTTTCAAGTTTCAACCATCACGATTTGAAAATTTTAATTAATTATAATTCAGGCGATGTTAAATACAAGCATACAAAGAGGTTTATATCTATAATCTATAGATTAAAAAAGAGGCAACTAGATTGATTCACGTGAGATAGATGAAACTTTGTTGCAGCTTTCACCACTTGCAAAAAGATAGATGAAACATCACATTTTCCTATTGAATTTTTTCCCCCGACCAAAAAGAAAAGTTAAATTATTCTTTTTTGTAAGGGGTTGTTAACTTTTTACGTGACCAAGTAAATGGGCGAAGAAGAGATAGAAATCCTCTGTGGCTGGTCCATGTTTAGCTCTCGTAAGCTCAGATATGGGTTCGCCACGTCACCTTTCCTCGCCGGCGTCAATGTTCTCGCTATAGGTCCCGACGAAGGTCTATTTGTCGTCGTCGTACGGTACGGTGTGCTCGACCCGCTCAGACTCTCCGTTGCGTAAATTGGACCCGACATCGACATCGACCCGGCTACGGCGCGAAAATTTCTAGCCCTACGATCTTCGTTCACGCCGACGGTGGAGATTGGCCATTTCCGCCATTTGAAGAAAGGCAAAGCTTTCTTCCACCAACACCGTTTCTTCTTCTTGTCGTTGTGCATTGTGGACCGGGTCGGGTTGTCTTTTGAAATGGGTTTCTGGATCTTGAATTGAAGACCGTTCATGTATGATTTTGATGACGTTTCTCTCTTATGCTTCCTCGCTTCTTCCATAACCTTTCAACGACAACCATAAAAACATCAGAAACAGAATCTTTAACAGAGCAAATTTACTCAAAAACGGAATGCAAATGCAGAGCCAGATCCATTCGTTTTGAGTTTTGTTGATTTGAAACGAAACAAACCATAGCAAAAACGTAAAAAATACCTGAAAGTAGTGGAGCTGGGGATCGAAGCCATAGTCGCTGAAATGTTGAGAGTTGGAGATGGTGAAGATTGGGGAAATGTTGGACATTTTTCTTACGAGGTCGTTTAAGGTTCTTTAATGGAAGAAGAAATGGGTGACAGAGTTTGTGAAGAGATAGAAGAGAATGGAGATGGCCGTTGGGAGAGTGTGGGGTTCACTCAAATTCAATGCAACGAGAGTCGTCTATTGTGTCATTTTCAAACAACCCTCTTTCCTCTGTATTTTTCTAAGTTTTTTTTTAGTTTTATAACGGCCATACATGATAATTAATTCATCTCTTTTTCAATTCCTTTTTTAGTCATTACAATTTTATTATTTTTCCTTATATTACATACCACAAAAAATAAAAATAAATCAATCATATCATTTTCAAGTACCAAACTAAAAACTAAGTAACTATACGTCTATACTTACAATGCGAAAATAACAATTCTCCATATAACAATAAGCAGAAAAAGACACGTAAATGGTACTTATTGCATCGTACGCAACAAAGTCGTGGTTTTAGTTTACCGAAGCAAGGAATGTTATTGTTTTCACCGTTCAAAGACTAAGAGAACAATATTGGATGTAGCCAGGCGGCACTGTTTGAGGAAAAAAAAAAAAGGATGTAGCCAGGCACTCTCAATCTCGAAGGACGATACATGTGCATGAGCATCACGTGAATCTCTATAACACATGCATCTCTTCAATGTTTTATTACTTAAAAATTTGTCTGTATTTATTTATATTATCCAATTTAAAAGGCATTCAAATATATTAAGTAATCGTAAGTGACTTACTCGGATTTATCAAAAAGAAGAAAAAAGTGACTTATTCGGACACAAACTTATTTATTTCAATAATTCACTCAAGTAGCTGGAGAACAAGTATCGTAAGAGCATGTGCAGTGGCAAGAACCCACATAGTCTCTCAAATATATTATTTTAATAACTTTTATATAAAAAGGTTATTTATTTAAAATTTAAACTATAAATAAAACTTACAACCAATTATAGTGTGACATATGTCAAATGAGTCTCTCACAAGGTTTTCAAAGTCTCTCATTTGAGAGACTAACTTTATTCTCTTTCTTACTTTTTTGTTATTTTATAATTTTTTATGGGTGAGAAACTCATTGAAAGACTCCCACTAAATGCTCTAAGTGTCTAACCATTGAGATCGATAGGCCCAGTTCCGGCTTAAGGGGGAGGGCAATGGGACGTGGGCCCAGGAGCCCATAAAGTTTTAGGTAAAATTTTCATTAAATTAAGAGGCCTAATTTTTGAAAAATGTTAAGTTAAGGGGCCCCAAAAATATTATTTATTTTTAATAGTCTAAAAATTTTAATTTATTAACCTAAATATTTTTATCAGCCTAAGGGCCCACAAATTACTTGAGCCGGCACTGGATAGGCCTAACAACTCATTTCTATTCTATAATCAGGGTTTTGATCATCTTCCACACGATGACATCAGCAATTAATAACCAATTAATGATTCTTCAAACAATTTCAGTTTTAAAAAACATTACAAATTAATTCATTTACAAAATTTGGAATCTCCTAAATGTTTGCTGTATACGGTACTTGTGTTTGTGGGATCCACGTATCGCCACGTAAGAATCTGTCGCCAGTGTATAAAAGAGCATCTTGGGGCGTTAGTTTCTTAATTCCGGGCCATTTAACTCTTTGGGCCTGATTCGATCCAGGCCCAGTATTCATATGCTCGGCGTAGTATAGCGTCTTGAGCGCAAAATCTCCACTCCAAGGAAGCCATCCCGCCGGATCGATGACGTCATCGATCGTCGTCTTCATGATGATCGTCCTCGAGAACTCCTTCCACGGCCTTCCTAGGTAAGCTTTGTTCACAGATTTCACCGGAATATACGCCGGATCTCCCGTTATATGGCAGCCATGGAGCACCAATCCGGTCGATTCACGGACGTTGCTTCGTCCCTGAGCTGTAACCATACACGATTGACCTTTGTTAGGTTTTCGGACGACGATTTTACAGTTCTGGAGTATGCATTTCGCGTCGCCGAAGATGAAATCGACGGTGCCGGAGACTGTGCAGTCACGGTAGAATTGCCGGTGAGAGTGAACGTATAATGTGTCTTGGTGCCCGTCGATTTGACAGCTGTGGAATACGGCGTAATCCGCCGAGACTCTTAACGCCACCGCTTGTCCTCCTTCTGGTCCAGCTGTGTTCTCGATTCCGATGTTCTTCGCTGTGAAGTGGTCGCCTTCGACTGCTGCGAAACACAATTTGGTAATGTTTAGAATTTCTCTTTGTGGATTTTTAGAGTTTTGAGCAGTGGAGATTGAAACTCACTGATGGTGGCTGTTAGGAAGGTCTTGACCTTGCCGATACCGAAATTGAGACTACCGGTGATTACGGTCTTGTTTGGTCCATCGCCGATGAAAGTGACGTAAGGCATTTTCCTGGTGACCATAACTTTCTCCTTGTAGATACCTTGTTTGATGTGAATTACGAATGGAACTGTGTTGCCTTTAGGCACACCATTTAGAGCATCGGTGATAGTCTTGAACTGGCCACTTCCGTCTTGAGCTACCACGGCATTAGCCTTCACAGGTCCAGGTCCTGGTCCTCCTCCTTGTGCCGCCATGAGTCGTCGTGCCTCTGGTCCAACCCAATTTGGGATACCATCTTCTGTAGACAGAAGCTTTCTCGCGTAGTTTGCTAAAGCTCCGGTTAGTCCTGGTATGAAGCATCACATTACTGTCCATTGATTCTGACTGGTTGGTAATGGATAGTTTGGAGATCTCTTTAGTAAATTGAAAAGATACCTGTAATGTTGGAGTTTGGGAGAAGAGTGGAGATGCTAGTAACCATGGCAAGGCTATTGCTACTAAGCTCTCTTGATGTTTGGAAGATCTTGAGCATGTCTTGCATAAGATTGGACTTAATTTCCCCAAAGGAATCCATACATGTTTGCTGGAATGCGATGGAGCCACTTAGCCAAACCCGTAGATCCTCAACAAAGACCTCAATCCGATCAACCGAGAATCCATGATCCATACACTTCTTCAAGTCATCAATAGCATCAATCATCAGCTTCTCACACAGCTCGAAAGCACCCTTCGCTTCTGGGTTTTTGTCAGCCTTGGCTTTGACATCTCCAGAGGCCTTTTTGAGGCTTTCGTTGATGGATTTGATAGTGATGTTGAAGCCTAGTTTGATGAGGTCGAGAGGCTCAGCGGAACTGGGAGAAGCACCCATTAAGCTGTTAACACAAGTGTCTTTGAAGTCAGTGGGTGCACAAACTGCTTGAACCGCTTTGGTGGTTTTCTTGATATGATTTTCATCGGCTTTGGGAGAGTGTTTAGACGTTACAACGGCTACAGAGACAACCATGATGACTAGGAAACCCGAGACACTACCGGCGATGATGAATTTCTTTTTCTTGTCACCAATAGAACCCATTTTTTTCTGTTTCCTATATTCACAAAAATTCTAAAGGTCGAAAAAGGTATCTTTGCTGTAGTTTTCAAGTAATTTTTTCCTACTTTTCTAATATGATTTTCTACACATGGAGCAGATGGGGCCTGTAACTGAGGCTAAAACTAAAAGGCCCCTTCTAGCTCTGATTTTTTTTTGTTTTTTTAGGGGGAGGGGATGTTTTCGCGTTTGGTATATACAATGCTTAGAACAAATGGATAGAAAGATCGACGGGGTTAATATAGAGAAAAGTTGTAATTCTATTTCTGGGGTTTTAGGAAATAACATGAGGCTATGTTACATTTTCTGTCTTTAGTAAGATTGTCTTTTTAGATTTGGTTTCCGGATTTTATGATAGCCTATGAATAGTGAAGTATGGTCATGAATTTGTGGGATGAAGTGTGAGATACATATTAAACGTAATCTTGATGATTTTCTTAAGAGAATCTGTGATTCGAATGATTCTTACTAAATGGGGAAATTAATTTAGAGATGAAGAGTAAGAGTAGACGCATGAGAGGAATCTCTCAAGGGGTAGTTCCTTTGTCTGTTGAATGTCACAGTGCAAATCATCATATTAAGTAGGGATGTTAAAAATGTGTTTTAGCCCGATGGGTACCCTAAACCCGTGTAAATTTTAAAGCCTACGATCCTGCTTTTTGATTTTTAAAGAACGCGGGTTTAATTCGGGCATGTTCTGTTTATAGCCTTGTTTAAAAAACCGCTAGGCGCTAGTCGGATGGTGAGAGTGGGCCTAGCGGCTAGCAAGAAAATCGGAGATTAAACGAGAATTAATTGGGGACTAGTTTTAAAGCTATTTTATATTTTAAAAACATATTAATCTATTATAAATAAGAAATTTATATAATCTTATTTTTAAAATTGCATTAAACATATGAAAAAACAAACTAATGATTTTTATATAAATTATGAACATAAGTGGGACGTTTTGAATTTTAGATCCAAAAAAAAAAAAAATTGGGCTAGGCGCCGTCTAGGCGGACTAGGGACACAAAAATCGGATCACCGATTATTTTTTCGATTTGGACAAAATCGCTGGGGTCCTCACCCGATCATCGCCGAAGCGGCCGCCTAGTCTAGGCGACCGATTTTTAGAACAGGGTGGCCGCCTAGTCTCGGCGACCGATTTTTAGAACAGGGTTTATCCTACCGAGTTATGGGTACCCGTCGGACTTTTTTTTTTTATCTATTTGTAAAACGACATTGTTTTGTTTATTTCTCCCCCAAAATCGCAAACACAACCCTATCCTTCCTCAAATAATCACAAACACAACCCTAATTTCTCATTTGAGTGAAACTTTGAAACACGATCTGGCGCCATGGGAACTCTGCTAAATTACAAGTTCAACACATTATTAATGTACGATTCGTTCTACTGCTTTCCCCAGTTTCGTCCGTTAAACTAAAGAGGCAAAATCAAATCGAATTCTCGAAGACGCAAATAACAACATCTGCATACAGAGTTTAAAGATCTCTTCGGAAGAAGTAATAATGTCTCTGACATGCGTAAATATGTCCGAGGATGTGTGGTTGACTTGCCTCACTCACGCATTATCCACCGAGACCGAAGAAATCATGGGTCTCCTTCTCGGCGACATCGAGGTTCCCACTCTTTCTTCTTCTTCTCTTCGAATTCGGATTTCTCCGCTTTAAATGTTTCATCTTTCTTGGATTCGATATTACTCTAGTTTAATTGAATTGATCTCAATTCAGTCCAAAAGTTTGGCTTTTGCTGCTCTCTGTAATCTCTGTTTTTGATGGTTTAAGGCTTGAACCCCAGATAATCAAATCTTGTTGTGTTTATGAAAACT